TCCCACAGCGCTTACCACACTGCACTGTATTGATTATCAGCTGCCTCCCCAATTTGACTGTGAGCCCCTTGGGAGAAGGAACTTCTTCTGCATTATCTCTGCATGTGCCAAGCCCACCAGACCTGGCAAAGATGAGGTAAGTTAATAGATGGAATTAATGACATAGAGAATCCACTCCCCATCATAGCATGGGCAATCTTTTAAAAATGAAAATCGGGCCGGGTGCAGTAGCTCAAGCCTGTAATCCCAGCACTTTGGGAGGCCAAGGTGATAGGATTGCCTGAGCCCACGGGTTCAAGACCAGCCTGGACAACTTGGCAAGACCTTAGCTCTACAATAAATCAAAAAATTAGCCGGATGTGGTAGTGCACGCCTGTAGTTCCAGTTACTTGAAAGGCTGAGGCAGAAGGATCACCTGAGCCCAGCAGGTCGAGGCTGTGGTGGTGATAAATGTGCCACTGCACTCCTGCCTGGGCAACAGAGTAAGACTCCAACTCAAAAAAAAAAAAAAAAAGGAAAAGAAAAGAAAGAAAGAAAGAAAAAATTGAATTATGTCATTCCTTTACATAAAAATTTCAAATGCATATAAATAAAATTCAAACTCCTAAAAGAGAAAAAGGAAAGCAAGGGAAAGAACGGTGTGTTCAGGATGGTATTTGCAGGCTTGGGAAAGAAAGAACAAATACAACAGGGTAGAGGGAGATGTTCCTACTGTACCCCCAGGTATCTCTTGAGTTCAGAAATATACACATATAAGTACGGCAATAGAATGCTTTATTCTTTGCAGTATTTCTAAACTGTTCTAAAATGAACATGTGTTTCTTGGTGTTATAATTGTTTTTAAAGAAAACTTCAAAAATAAAGGGTCTTTAATTACCATATAGTCTTTGGAGTTTATTCCTGTTGTTTTATTTACTTATTTTTATTTCTTATTTTTTGAGTTGGAGTCTCACTCCATTCCCCAGGCTTGAGTGCAGTGGCACGCTCCCAGCCACCGTAGCCTTGACCTGCTGGGCTCCGGCGATCCTTCCGCCTCAGCCTTCCAACTAGCCGGAACTACAGCAGTGCGCTACCACACCCAGCTTATTTTTTATTTATTGTAGAGCTGAGGTCTCACCAAGTTGTCCGGGTGGGTCTCCAACCCTTGGGCTCAGGCAATCCTCTCACTTCGGCCTCCCAAAGTGCTGGGATTACAGGTTTGAGCCACTGAGCCCGGCCCATTCCTGTTGTTTTAAAGCTGTTTCTTTTCCTCTCGCTTGAGCAGTCTGAAAAATGGTAAACCTTGGTGCTCCCTTTTAAAATACATACCCATTTTCTTGGCTTGGAGTTATAATCATATTTTCTTTCCATTTTAACTTTTGTGACTTGTGTCAGCAGCTCTTAATCTTCTGGGTGTTGGAAAGCACACCAGGGAGGTTGCTAAAATGCAGATTCCCAGGATTCTACCCCCAGATACTCTGAGTCAGTGGGGCTCTGGGATCTGCATTTTAACCATCACTATAGGAGATTCCTATGCAGATAGACAGTCTATAGACTACACTTTCCCACTTATCTATGCCTTATCAAGGAAAGCGTTTTTCACATAGAAGTGAAAATCCTGCTTAGTAAAGAATACAGGATTGAAAGTGACCTCTCCCTTGATGACTCTCCCCCAAAACACATACACATATACTACTTATACCTTTATAAACATCCATAATATGTCCTATATTTATAATGTGGTTCTTTGTACACTCACCTTGTCTTCTCCCTCAGCTTTTTGAGAATGAGATTCAAGTTGTTATCTAGCCCAAAGTTCCAAAGTTGTGAAATAAGAATATGTGCGACAGAAATCAAAGTGTATGGTACACATTTTACATTTTTTGGCTTAGGGATCAATTTCTCTACCAACCATGTAAGTTCCTAGTCATGCCACCTTCCCCTCCCTCAAAGCTCAGACGTAGACAAGGAACTTTCAATACTGTCTGCTAAATCAAGGGAGAGGCTGCTGTTTTATTTTAAAATATACATATAAATCACTTCTGGTAGCTTTCTATGCCTTTCCCAGGACCTCTGGTGAGCCCTTTCCTCTGTGAATTTTAAAGTGAAAAGAATGCCTGACAAAGCAGCCCAAATGGTTGAGACAAACATCCCAGCGGGATCTCACATTACATAAATTATCAAGTGCGATGTGAAGGGACCCATGAGATAGAGTGGCAGCTCTATGCTACCTCCTGGTGGCAACATGCTCTGTGGCATCCCGACCCACGCCTGTATCCAGCTGGCTCTTGGTACTCAAGCTATGCCACTCATTTGTTGTGTCCCCAACAGCACAGAGACCAGTGCACCGACAAATATTTGCTGGTGTAAGTGGCAGGAAAAAAAACGCATAGTTCAACTGTATTTTCTTCTGCCCAACTATAAATAACTGGCTTTTTCAACTGTACCACTTCCTAACTTTTTATAGTACAATTTGTGACTGATGCACAAATCAGCCAAAAGGCAACTGTGGAAGACGTACAATACTCCTAATAACATCATAATCCTAATAACATCAAATATACAAACATAATTATACAAGCATAATCCTAATAACATCAAATATACAAACCTAAATTATCACTGGTTTCAGATTTCAGAACCTAAAACTCCAAAGATTCTGAAAAGGTCACTGCACCCACCAACAGGGACATTCATGAAGACTCAGAATGAGGTAGGGATAGCTGGAAAGTGATGGCGTCCCAGAGGTACAACTTGGATGACTTGGATTACAGAGCAGAAAGGAATAAAAGAGAACTGAGTAAGAATTTACCAGTCTGAAGGATGCTGACATTGGAATCCCAGCATTCTATGCCCTTGGAGATTAGAATAAGAAGAAATAACACCGGGTGGCGACTGAAGGGTAGAGGAAGTGGAAAAAGTTCTTTTAGTAAATATAAAAAACTTCTCTTAGGAGATGCCTGGAATCTTCTTTTTTGGGGTGGGGGATCACTAACAAATCCTCTTTAGTCAGGAATAAATGTGACCCTGCCCAAGGTATAGAGAATATACTCGATGGCATACTGGGGTCCCCATCACAAGTAGGGGCTCACACAACAGTCCCTATGAATAGGCAAGATGGGATGATGTGAATAAAAGCAAAAACCAATTTACTTGTAAGACTTGGACAGAAATCACCTCACTCATGCATATAGCTATCATAGGGACTACACCCGGCTTTGGGATTTCAGGTTCCCTGATGACAGAAGAAGCCTTTAATGGAAGCTGCACACTGGGTTAATGGTCAGGCCCTGAATGGAAATTCTGAGATCAATAGGCCTAAATTCAGGAAATCAGACTGCACCCAAAGCCTAATGGTCTGATAAGAGCAGCAAGTACTCACTGTTCTTTCTTCTCCTCCCTGCCAGACAGTTAATTGATTCACACTTTGCTTTTCCTAGAAGCTAATACCACCATTACATGCAACCTTTGGGAAGAGGTGAGTGAGGAGAGGTGACTGATGGTTCACAGAGCATCCCATGAAAGATGAGTTTGAGGCAATCGAGGCTCCACCTCAGCAAAGGCTATGTTTGCAAAGATCACTATTGAGGTCTGTGCATAAGTTGAGTCTCTCGTATGCTAAGAGAATGGATGTTAAGAGAATGGATGCTACCTTACCCAGACCACTAATGGATCAAACCTTCCTAATTCAGAGTTACAAGCATTGTGTTTTAGGGGAAAGTCTGAATTATGCATTTTAAAATAAGAATTAATTCTTTCCTACAGCAAAGCTTATTGCCCCAGGCATTGCATTCAAGAATTGATCAGGGAAGTTACTTCCTCATACAGAAAATCCCCAATCAAATACTAGGAAAATCAGGAAAGCCTTAAGAAAATAAATCAGAAAACAAAGCCATATCTTAAGTACCATCAAAATTTCCACATTTCCCATGTTTTCTTCACATCTAGTTCAGACAGAAGTCATGGAAGAAAAGACTTGTGAGCTAGGAGGGCCCTTCTGCTCAGCTGGGTGACTCTGAGGCTAGGAAGAAAAGCAATGCATATCCAAAGAACCTCAACAAGGGCTGAAACACAATAGGGTTAATTGGCCACAAAATGGAATTAATGAGAACGTCCCTAATGTACTGGGAGTTTGCTCAGTTTTAATGAACCCAAACTCTAACATTGTACTGGAAGAAAAAGGAACCCTAAAATCATGCCTGATTACCACTATCTAGGTAATTTCTCACCTGAGGCCCACAGGAGAAGGGACTGCTTACTCTAAAGCCCTTAAAAAATAAGACAAAACCCAAGCAGCCAATAAGCCTGGAGTTCCACTTCCAGTCCTCCTTCCCCTTTGGGGAAGGGGAGGAGAGGAGGGGCGGAGAAATGAAAAAATCACCTATCAGGTACAGTGTACACAGGTGGGAGTGGTGGGTACATGTAAGGCCCAAACTTCTTTGCTACTACTAGACAAAGCAACCATGTCACCAAAAATTGTATGTATCCCCTAAAGTTATTAAAATAAAGAAAAAAAGAATTCTTCTTGTTGAATTGATTATTAGTAGTCAGCCACTTATCAAACCTCCAAGGTTGACTTTGTGAAACCCCACCCTACACCTGTCATTTAGGCCTTTGTCTCCTCTTATCTTCCTTTACTGAGTGTGGGGGGGAGGGCGGGACAGGGGTGAAGAACAAGAGGCGACTGGAAGATGATGACTGGCATCGAATTGGGGACCTGTTTCTAAAAAGGGGATGTTTTAAAGATATTTTATTTTCCAACACCAGTAATGACTGAAAAAGCAAGAAATGAAGCAGGAAGCAAAACAAAAACAAGCCAAAAAAAATCTAAGCATGCAGCCTTAATTTTTGAGGAAAAAAATGCTATAAATATTAAAAGACTTAAGAAGAATATTTACTTTTACAATAGATCATTGATGTACCTAACAGCTGGGTGTGTTAAACAGAGCATTTCCTCAGTGCCTTTCTGGTGCTCTAAAAGAATTTCCCAAGCTAATGAAAAATGAAGCAAACAGGTCTCCTTTCTTGAGTACGTAATAATTTTTATAAATTGTATCAGTCCCACTGATGTAATTTTAGAGAGTTCTCCCAAAACAAAGAGAAGTTCAAAGATAAAACTGCAGCAGAGGATCAGGGAAAGAATGCAGAACTGTGCAGGCACAGAGCTAACCCACAAGCTGTCCTGAGTCAGGTGCACCTGAACGCAATCCACGCCCAGGGCAGGGAGGCCGTGTCTGAGGGCAGCTGTATGACTGCAGAGCTAGGTCCTATCTCCCCTCCATGGGTCTCAACAGCAACTCGCGCTCCAGCTGCTCTGCGGTCAGTGTGCCCTGGATGGCTTCGCAGCCCGGGTTGAACACAGAGTAGGCGCTCTTCTCTCCCTCCTTTCTCTCTTCGGGGCCTCGTGTCCCAACATACATCCAGTAGAACAAGGACAGGACAAAATAAGCCAGGCCGAATTCCAGTTCCACAAACAGTCCCAGTAGGACCAACCAGAGAAGAACCTTTAGAAAGGTGATATTGGTCAGGAAAGAGTGGTCCCGGCTCCACAAAGGAGGAATGGCTATATTCCGCGGTGGCTGTGACGTGCTGTCCTCAGGCTGAGCTGCCTCCTAGGATACACAAGTAAACAAAAGTAAGAATAAAGGGTAATGGACCTGAGAGGATCAAAACAAATCGGAAAAGGCATTCTCAGTGCTCTAAGAAGACTGCTGGTTCATTGATTTCTATTTTCTTGCCCTGCTCTCTAAAACAATCATCTCCAAAGAACTCATGTGTCCCCCTCCAACTGAATCAAAACTGATCAGCACTTAATAAGATGTGAGCCAATAAAAGCCTTACAGCATTCAGACAGATTCCTATTCATGGGAGTCATTTCTTCAGGTTAGTCTGCTACTAACAAGAGCTATTCTGTGGATCATAGAGAAACTCCCCAATAACTGATAATGCAACAGCCACGACATGCTTCACATACAGAGTCACCATACATTTGCTCATTTGACTACATGAGCTAAAATATTGAGTGACGAGATTAAAAAATGGAAACTATACCAAAAACAGGAAACAAACACCCTTTTAACATATTTTTAAAAGTCACGGTGATTGCCATCACTGGGCCCTCTTACCTTCCTATCCCCTGTGACCACCCTACAAAGGTCCTTGGCACTGACCCCAAAGCCCATCCGGTGTATCCTAACTGGATTTCCTGCCTCCTATCTCTTCCCTCCCCAAACCATCCTATGTACAACTGCTAAATCAGTTTTCTAAAACACCCATTGCCCTCCTGCCCACGAGCCTTCAAATGCTTCCACTGCCTACAGGTTAAAATCCAAACTTGGGCAAGAATCCAAGGTCCTCCACTTACTCAACAGCTAGAAACGGTGGTGTGCGGGCCCCTGTGCTACTGGGAGACATAGGTATTTAGGTAGCTTTGGGGAGCTTCGTGTACAGCCCACTACTTTCCAAAGTTTTCTGAACACAGCCCACAGTAAGAAATATATTTTAAGCTGGGTGTGGTGGTTCATGCCTATAATCTCAGCACTTTGGGAGGCAGAGTCAAGAGGACTGCCTGAGTCTAGGAGTTTAAGACCAGCTTGGGCAACTTGGCAAGACCTCGTCTCTACAGTAAATCAAGAAAAATTAGCTGGGTGTGGTGGCACATGCCTGTAGATTCAGTTACTGGGAAGACTGAGGCAGAAGGATCACCTGAGCCCAGAAGATCTAGGTTGCGGTGGCTGTGAGTGTGCCACTGTCTCCAGCCTGGGCGACAGAGTGAAACTCTGATTCAAAAAAAAAAAAGAAAGAAAAGAAAAGAAATACATTTTATACTGCAACCCAGTATATATAGATGCAACAGAAAGTTTCACAAGTCAACACTTACCCTCCCTGAGAAGCACTCTCATACTTCTTATGCTATCCTATTACCTCTATATTGATCTCACCATCCCCTAACAAGTCACAATGGCCTAAGAAATTCCCTGTACAACACAATCTATTGCTCCATAAATGATCCTTCTACTGCAGTTCAACTGCTTTTATTCATCAGACATTCTCAGTTTCCATCTGAGGCCTAGAATCACCTCCACCTCTTCTCCATTCCTCAACCTCTTGCCTTCCCTCCAGGCAAGCAGTCCTGAACAAAGTCATCCAACGTCCTTGGCCATCAGAGAAGTGCCCCCTCTGTCTCCTGGAGCACTAACTGGCTCTCCTGCTCATTCAGCACTAAAGTGTCTCTTTTAATAGAGGTCACATATATCACCAGATTGCTTATAAGTACCAGGAGGCCATGGACTGTTGCTATATGTTTTGGTGTCTCCAGATCTAAACACAGCATCCCACACGTAGGTCCTCAATACACAGCAGAACGCTTAACTCATTTCTACAGTTGTGGCCCTTATTCTTTTCACATGAAAATGTAAAAGTAGACCATAAATATTGGCCTCAATAAAAAATATTGGTAGCCAGGTGTGGTTGCTCATGCCTGTAATCCCAGTACTTTGGGAGGCAGAGGTAAAAGGACTGCCTGAGCCCAAGGGTTCGAGACCAGCATGGGCAACTTAGCAAGACCTCATCTCTACAATAAATAAAAAAATTAGCTGGGCGTGGTGGTGCACCTGCAGTTCCAGCTACTTGAAGGAAGGGTGGAAGGATCGCCTGAGCCCAGCAGGCCAAGTTTATGGTGGCCATGAGAGTGCCACTGCACACCAGCCTGGGCAACAGAGTGAGATTCCCACTCAAAAAATAAACAAATTGGTCATCTAATTTATGATGCTTCAGAAATTCTATTTTCTGAAATAGAATCTTCTTTTTTAGCATCAACATCACAAGTGTTACCTTTTCAGGGAGATTGGAAAGTGTGACTGGAGAGGCCCTTATATCCTCAGCATAATACCCACCTCCAACGTTTATTAAATAAAGAAATATCCTTTTCGGATTTGACCAGTGTGCACAATACTTCTTGCCCGAGGAGAGGAATGTATCAGGGTGGGAGAGGTTTGGCTTGTCTGGGAACAAGACAGACAGTGTGACTGCAGTGTCCTGGGCAAGATGGAGAGTACTATGAGATGACAGGGTGAAGGGGGAGGGCCAGAGGGCAGGTGCAAGAACACGTAGGGACAGGTAGGCCACAGTACAGATTCTGGACCATTTAAGATTACTCTGGCTGCCACAGAGACAATGAGCTGCAAGGGAGCAAGAGTGGATACAGGGAAACTGTGAGCAGCTAATGCAGAAGGCCTAGTAAGACAGTCCCAGGCACTGACTAGGGTGGTGACAGAGGTGAGAAGGAAATGATGGACCAAGAGACACAGAATACATCTTGAATGTATATAAATTGAAATTCACGGAAACGGAATCTATTTTACTTTTCAGGGAGTAGAAACGGAATAATGCTTATAAGCCACCATTTACTGAGAGCCTTCAAAATGTACGCTGTCCTGTGATCCAGAAGGCAGGCATTATTAATCTTTTATTGATAAGAAGACACTGAGGGGTTAAGTAACTTCCCTGAAGTTACTAGCAACAGGCAGACATGAAGTTGGACTAGGATCCCAAGATGGCCTCCCTCCAAAGCCCTTTTAATTAGGGGCCTTTCTGGGAGATGGCAGGAGAAGGGTTAGAGAGCTAGAGGGAGGTGGAGGGGGTGGCAAACAAACTGGCAAAAGGAACACACAAAGAAGAGCCACGTGGGAATTCCTATGCCTCAGTGGAATTGTCCTAGTACGAGCTCACCTGCTGCAAAAGCTGTGTATAGAAGTGCTTGTGGTAGTTATGTCACATACAGGCCTAGTTCAGAGGAGGCACTTCTATTTCTCAAATATCAAGCTGCTTTCCATCTCAGGGCCTTTGCACTTGTGGTCCCTATGAGAGGAATGCCTCCTTCCCATCATATCACCTAGTTGGCTCCCTCTTCTACAAACTTCAGCAAAAACATCACTGTGCGTGCCCTTAGCCTTGTCCCCAGGATTTTGCAAGGATGGCTCCTTCTTGTCAAATGTCACCTCCTTAGTAAGCCTTCCCTGGTCACCCAATTTAAAATAGCATTCTGCTCCCGTCGCCCCCAGTTCACTATCATAGCACACTGTTTTCTTTCATAGCATTTATCATCTTGTTGTTTTGTTTATTGTCCTCCTTCCCCTGCCGCCCCAAGCTCATATGCAAGTTCTACAAGAACACAACTTTATCTGTCTTACACTGTCTCCCAGGACTTAGGAGAGAACCTGGAACACACTGGATACATGACAGGATTCTGTTGAATGAATGAATGATAGTGAGGGAAAGGGAGAAATTAAAGATAACGTCTAGATTTGGGGGGTGATATAAGGCTGTGCTTAGCAGGGTTGACCCCTAGGGGAGGAAAGCACCGAGCCACAGACCAGCTTGAGTCTCAGCTTGGAGGTAAGGAGCTGTGGAGCGTAGGCAGTGGACCTGAGGCTGGGTGGTGCTTTGGGGGCTTGTGTAAAATATGGCTGAAGAGGGAGGCAGGAAGCTTCTGTAGGACTGAAAAAAGTGACAAGCATTTTTTTCCTGATGTGGTAGAAGCTCGTCACAGAATTATCTGGGGGGACTGTTGTTCCACAAGCAAAATTCAGCAGGAGGAAGGAAAATGTGGATATTTCCTTATCGATAACTACTGAAAAGAAGCAACTGCAAATAGAAGAAATCTCTGACAGGCCACAGTGTGCCATCAACATTATTAAGTTGGGATGGATTGTAAATTAGGAAAAAAAATTTAATGAGAATTTTCACACCAGAGCAAACTCAGGAATGATAATAGTCAATGAAAATGAGCATAAGGTAGAGAGTCCCTTATGAAAAACAGAACAATTAATAAGAACCAATGGGAGGGTCCAGCATTTCCTCTCTTCCTCCTGTAAGTCCACCAGCTTTTGAGTTTTCTGTAATGGAAGCTTCCTCCATGTTCAGTTTCTCTGGGTCCAAATCAATGATCTCATATTCTTTTGGAAATGAGAACTACAGTCAAAAGCTCATTGCGTGGGTTAGCCATTGTTTTTTAACTGCACCGGGAAATGGATTCTAAAATCTTAAGCAATTGTGCTAAGAAAGTTCTAGTCAACATGAAAATTACCCAGACAATTGAGACAAACTGCACACAAGGAAATGAACTGTTTAAACCCTGCTGCACTCTCTTTGCCTCTTTCTACAAGTCAGTTGGAATTCTACACATTATGGAGAATATAAAATCAAAATTGAGTAACAATAAGGTCTCCTTAATTTAAAAAATTCCCTCAAATAAAATGTTGTGCAGTAAGAGACCAACTTAAGGGAAATAATTTTAAAGAGAGCAAGGTACACTTCTTGTCCAGTACACATTTTAACTTTTTTTTTTTTTTTTTTGAGTTGAAGTCTCACTCGTCGCCCAGACTGGAGTGCAGGGCCACGCTCCCGGCCACCGCAGCCTCCACCTGCTGAGCTCCGGTGATCCTTCCGCCTCAACTTTCCAAGTAGTTGGAACTACAGGCATGCACTACAATGCCTGGCTAATTTTTTGATTATTGTAGAGATGAGGTCTCACCAAGTTGCCCAGGTGGGTCTCGAACCCGCGGGCTCAGGCAATCCACTCACCTCAGCCTCCCAACATGCGGGATTACAGGCTGAGCCACTGAGCCCGGCTCATTTTAATTTTTAAAATAAACTTTTTGGGATTGAAAGTAGTGGGATAGCCGGGCTCGGTGGCTCAGCCTGTAATCCTGCACCTTTGGGAGGCTGAGGTGAGTGCAGGGCCTGAGCCCGCGGGTTTGAGACTCGCCTGGGCAGCAAGACCTCATCTCTACAATAAATCAAAAAATCAGCCGGTCATGGTAGTGCACGCCTGTAATTCCGGCTACTCGGAAGGCTGAGGCGGAAGGATCGCCAGAGCCCAGCAGGTCGAGGCTGCGGTGGCCAGGAGCGGCCACTGCACTCCAGTGTGGGCGACAGAGTGAGACTCCAACTCAAAAAAAAAAAAAAAAAAAAAAAGTGGGAAACTGCCGGGAGGGGGGAGGGGGGTAGCTGGGATTGACGGTAGTCGATATCCACCTGTGGAAGGGGGACACACCTCATCAATAAGGGTACTTGCACAATGAACATTTGTATACCTAACCCTGAATTGTACCCCACAATTTCAAAATAAATTAAAAGATAAAAAAATAAAATAAAATAAACTTTTTGGCTCTTATTACACTTATAAGGAATAAGATCTTTATCTTGTCACAGATTGTGGTAAAGTATCGATTCCCTTGATATGTTGTGTCCTGTATTTCCACTAAAACACGCCAATCTCACATGCAAGTCACCTTGTCATTTTTTTCATGAGTGGAAATTAGATAAAGACACAAAGAGATACGAATTAATTCATCTGCAAAATAAAAGATGACCAAAAAATATTAAGGGTGAAATGCCATCATACTACCACTGGCAGTTACACACTTTTGCTAATTTTGTATTCAAACCCATTTCTAAAGACCAGGCTATCTTTGCTACCCGCTGCATGTGCCCCAGGTGCGAATCAAATGAAGCCTTAATTACTGCCACTTTTGGTCAGTATCCAATTAGACCTTTTACCCTCCATTAGCAGAGGGCTGTGGCTCAACCTGGTTGTGGAGAAGTTTCCCAAAGCCATCGGGTGTGACAGCGATAACTCAACTCGCGGTGAATAATTCAAGGGCAGAGGTGCTTTCTTCCAGGACGCTAGACCCTCGCTTCCGGCCTGAACTCAGGAGCCGCGTGGGTCGCGGACTGGAAAGAAACGTGCTAAAGTCAGGTATCAGTGCCGACACGTGTGGCAGGAAACACGCGGCCCAGCTCCCCGGAGCAGGAGGGAGGCGCCAGCAGCCCCGACACTGGCGGCGAACGTCAAGCCCGCAAGACGCGGAGGGGGCGTGTCCGCCCGCCACCACGTGGTGGGCGTCGCCTTTCCGAGAGGGGGCCCGAGCCTGCGCGCCGCCACTTGATGGGCGGGGCCGCTGCCGGAATCTCCCGGAGGACCACCACCGTGGCTCAGAGGCCGCTTCCCGGGTTGACGTCTCCCTTCTCTCACCTGAGCGAGGCTAGGCTGGGCCCGGATACTCGCGGGCCTCGGTTTCCATACCAGGAACCGCCTTAGCCAGCCTGGGGCTGCCTTTAGAGTCGCAGCTGCTTCCGCCTTCTCTCCCGAGGTTTGTGCTTTCTGGCTGGAAGTGCTGGACTGCGCCCCCGGGCCGGCCTGTTTTCGGGCCGCCCGGAACTCGGCTAACCGCTGTTCCATGGCGCGCACCTAGCGCCCGCTCAACCGGAAGCGCGCACACCGGGGCCCCCAGCCCCACTTCGCCTGTTGCCGCCTCGCCCTGCGCATGCGTGGCGGCTGCTCGCTACTGCGCGTGTGCGCTGGTGCGGGTCGGCTGCCAGATGTCTGCAGGATTTGTGACGTCCAGCGGGCCGGGTGTACCCAGAATAATCCCTTCAAATGCACGTGGACGCAGTGTCCACCTCTTTAAGCTAAAGAGTTAGGGTAAAGCGTAAGGGCTGCCTGTCGTTCCTCTCCCCGAGGGCCGCTCGGCTAGGCTGCATCTGACTTCGGGGTTCTAGACCCCACGAATTCCGCGTCCGGTAGCCGGCGTGGAGGAGTGGGCTCCAGGACGTGGACGAGGCCCGTGATCGCAAGGGAATTCTGGCGTCAGAAGGAAGACAGGATACATTCTACCCTTTTCCTTTGATCAGGTTATACTAATCTCAGTACTTGGAGGGTGACTCTCAGCACTCACAGGGCAGGCAGTGCAACTCCCTATCGTTGCTCTTGCCACACTGGAAATTAAGTTTTCGTGTCTAGATAGGTCAGGAAAACAACTTAAAAATATACACATCTGAAGTGTACAACTCAGTCGATTTGTTTGTGGTGTGCACCTATATAACTACCACCCAGATAAAGAACATTCCTAGTACCCTGGGAGCTGCCTTGTGCCCTCTCCTAATCAGTACCCACCCAAAAGGACGGATCTGTAAAGCTCTAAGCACCTAGCTTAGCTAACTGTCACTTACATTGTTAAGACTCACATTTTTTGTTGGATCTTGTTGAATTTGAGTCAAGAAATTAGACAAACTAGAACGGAGTGGTTTATTCAAATAACAGCTGTTTCCCCAGGGCCCGCAGTGTCTCAACCAATTATACCAGGCACTGGGGATGTTAGTGTGAATGTAATAAAGTCCTTGTCTCTCAGAATTTACATTCTAAGTGGAAAGACACAACAAATGCATAACTATTTATTTAATGTAGTGTCAGATCCTGATTAGTTCTATGAAGAAAAGTTAAGCAAAGTAAGGAATGGGAGTGATGGGGCCAATGACCAGGGGAGACTTCTCTGAGGGGTTGCCATTTGGGCAGAGTCTTAAATGAAATTAGTTAGGGAGGCATGTAGTTACCTGGGTGAGAGTGTTTCCGTCAGAGAAAACAACTGTAGAGGTCCTGAAACCCTAAATAGTATGCTTGACCTGTTCATAAACATAGGGAGGCTGGTATGATTGCCAGAGAGGAAGAGAAGGAGGGAGGGAGGAAGGGAGAGAATTTAGAACATAAATACGCCAAGGGCCAGATAATGTAAGGCCTTCTAGGCCAAGGGGAAAGCATTGTGCTATAGCCTAAGTGTAATGGGAAGCAGGTAGAAGATTTAAGCAGGATATGACATGATATGACATATTTTTAAAGGATCACACTGGCTGCTGAAGGTGGGGCCCTGGAAGGGTGCAAGAGTAGAAGGGAAACCAGTTAGGAACAAGTGTGATAGGATGAGAGACTGGTCCTTTGGGCTAGGGTGGTAGTGATGGAGATCATGAGAGCTGGTCATATTCTGAATGTACTTTGAAGATCTGAGGCAACAATGTGCTGATGGATTAGATGTGGAATCTGAGAAAAGGAGGTATCAAGATGACAGATTTCTTCTATTGCCACTCCACCCTTAGCCCATATACACACATACCCTGAGCAACCAGCTGAAGGATGCCAGGGCCCTCTACTGAAATGGGGGCAGACTGGGAGGAAAGGATTATGGAATAAACACTGAAAGTTTTGTGTTGAACCTGCAAAAAGTTTGAGATGCCTATTGGATATCTGTAAGCAGCTGAATAGTGAAAATGAATTCAGGAGAAGTAGGACTGGAGATAACACATTGGGAGTCATCAGCATGAGTACGATATTTAAAACTGTGAAACTAGGTGAGATCAGCTAGAGCAAAAGTATGGATAAAAAGTGAATATATTTGAGGACTGAGCCCTGAATGGATTAGAGTTGGTTTATAAAACAAAAAGGAACAGGATTATTACACCACAATGTCCTTTCATTGAGAAACCACGGAGAAAATTTCTTGCCCATCTTGGTGTCAGAAGTATGTCTGCTTCTCTTGAGAGACTCAAAATACTTATATTGATTGTGTTTCCCACTTGATAATGACACAGAGACCTTAGAGCTGTGTTTATAGTCCACATCTAACAAGCATATAGAATTAAGGTGTGTGATTTGTGGACTACTGCAATCAGTGTCTCTGCAGGAAACACGGCACCTTCAAAAGGATTAAGTAAGGAGGGTTTACTAAAGGAATTAGTTACAAAAGTATGGCAGGCTGAAGGGAGCCAGCAAGGGATGGTTCTCAGGAAGTGTTAGCAGCCTCTAGACTTGAAGCAGTGAGAGGACAGAGTGGTTATCAGAATCAGTGGGACCTGTAGCTATGGGAAAGGCAGGAGACAAGGGAAGGAGTGTAGACAGGTAGAGAGGGTGGAAAGAGCATCCAAAGAGGCAGATGGAGAACATCCAGGCAAGGGCTAATACCATTTCTGTTTACTCTTGCTTTAGTAGCCTTGTGTTCCCTTCGCTTTGATTCATTTATTATTCATCTATTTTGTGTTGGTGCTTTGTAAACCCTTTAAAATCCTTTTCAGAAGAGATTGAAATAATGGAGAAAAGAAAAGATGAGATGTATAATCATGAAGGACAATTCCTGCCAAACCAACTTCATTTCCTCTTTGAATATGAAACTCATAAATAAGATGGGTCCCCAAAATGTACTTAATATATGAATTTAGTTAACTTTTTATTATGAAAGACTTTGTAAATACCAAATTATCTCTGTGTATGTAACGTGCGTGCATGTATATAATGTGTATATGCATCATATTCATAAATTATAAATAAAATACCCAGATGTCTCATGGCCCTGTGATATAATTGAGTCATTGACCCCGATTCTTTTTTTTTTTTTTTTTTGAGTTGGAGTCTCACTCCACTCAGGATGGAATACAGTGGCACGCTCACAGCCACTCCAGTGTTGACCTGCTGGGCTCAGGCAATCCTTCCACCTCAGCCTTCCAAGTAGCTGGAACTACAGGCGTGCATTACCACACCCAGTGAATTTATTGATTTATTGTAGAGATGAGGTCTCACCAAGTTGCCCAGGCTGTTCTCGAACCCATAGACTCAGGCAATCCCCTCACCTCGGCCTCCCAAAGTGCTAGGATTGCAGGCTTGAGCCACCGTGCCCGGCCTGGCCCCAATTCTATACTTTTCTGTATCCATGCCATAAAAGGTAGAGTATACATCCTCATTCATTGACTGTAAACTCAGGTGAGTTGCTTTGGCCAAATAGGATGATGGCAGAAATTTATACAAGCAGGGATGTGAAGTATGTCTGTCCTGTTAAGTGCACCCACTTAATATTTTGCATTGCCATGATATGAACTTGCAACAGGAATCATTGGAGACATCTGGGTTGTGGTCACCCAGCTGACCCAAAGACCTGCAGTGTTAAGGGTCAGCTGCCTAGCTGAGCCCAGCCTAAAATAACTGACCCCCAACCTACCCTAAAATGTAAGAAAAATAAATGCTTATTTTACATCAATGAAATGTTGCAGTTGTTTGTTACACAGCAAAAGCCAACCAATACATAGATACCCACTACTCCAGGAAAAGATCCCTGTCTGATCATTCTTGACTCCATTCCACTCCTTCAACCCATTAATGTGGTAAGTTACATTAATAGACTATCTATTGCTGAGCTGCCTCCATTCCTGGAGTAAATAAAACTCAGTCATTTTATAAATGTAACCTTCAAAGCTAGATTCAGGTTGATAATGTTTTAGGAATTTTGCATTTCTGTTCATTAATGAGATTTTTCTAGGATCTTATTTTCGTATGTACTGTCCTTGAATGGTTTGGGTTTTAGGATTATACCAGTTTTACGAATTGAGCTGAGTGTGCCCCTCATCTCCTACTCTTTCCATTTTATAGAACAGTTGGAATAAAATGGGAACTACCGCTTCTTGAATGTTTGGTAGGACTTCGTAGTAAACCATCTGAACCTGGTGTTTTCTTGGATCAAGGAAATCAATGTAATCTACAATTAAGTGGATTCATAGCTGGTCAACTCAACCTTACCCAAAAAGGGTTTAGAAATGGATCAACATCAGTGTGTCCTGTCTGATATTTTTAGGAGTGTCTCAGATGAAAATATTTTATTTTTACCCCTGATTGAGAACCAAAGACCATCTTGTAAGAAAGGTAAGAGAAAAAGAGTCTCACTCCTCAGTCTCACTCTGCCACCCATACTGGAGTGCAGTGGCACAATCATGGTTCACCACAGCCGAGGCTCAGGTGATCCTTCACCTCAGCCTCCTGGGCTGAGTCACCTCCTGGGCTCAGGTGATCCTTCACCTCAGCCTCCCAAGTAGCTGGGACTACAGCATGTGCCACCACTACTCCTGGCTAATTTCTTTTTTTACTTTTTTCTTCCTTCCTTTCTTTTTTTTTAATGTAGAGATGGAGTCTCGATATGTTGCCTAGGCTGGTCTCGAACTCCTGGGCTCCAGCAATCCTCCTGTCTCAGCCTCCCTAAGTGCTGGGATTACAGGCATGAGCCACTGTGCCAGGGGTTAAATGAAAATATAAAAGGCAATTTGTCATATATAGAGATGACAAAAATTTGATAAAGAGGATCTACAATTATGTATTTAGGATGAAAAATAAACTAAAATGAATTTGATTAAATGTATTATAATTAAAGCATTGTGGAGATGCTCAGAGGGAACTCTGCCTCCTTCCAGATTTGCATTTATATTTTTATGTCTTTGTTTTTGTTTCTTAATCATTGACTTGAGAGCAATTTGTTTTCAATAGGACTTGGAGCTTTTCCCTGACCAAAGACTAGACAGGAGGAGGGGTAGGTGGTAGATGTTTAGGTGCTGCATTGGATCCCACTGTCAGTGAGAGAGGATATATTATTGCTACCCTCATGCTCTCTTTGGC